TAATAATAAAATAATAATAAATTAAAAAAAATATGAAAAAAAGAATATAGTATATGGAAAACTTTATCAAGCTTCCAGGATGACGATCATGTCACCAGCAGGCACAGGGAAAAGTCCCAAACTGGACTCGGTGATGGACAGGAGCTGGATTCCAGGTCTGGAGTCAGGAACGCTCTGATCGGGGTTGACGGTTGGACAAGATGATCTTTAAGGTCCCTTCCAACCTAGAAGATTCTGTGATTCTGTGAAAGACAGAGGAACAGACGGGGTGCTCCTCGGACATCGGCCATTGAAGAGAGTTGACCCTTTGATCCCTCAGCTTTTGTACTGAATGCTCTGATGGTCAGGTTTGGGTCATGTCTCCTGTCCCCTCCTCCCCACAGGTGGGACCCCTCTACGCTTTTCCACTTCCCACCCTCCAACGGGGCAAATAATGAAGTTTCCTGACCTTGGTTGTTTTAGCAATAAGTGTAAGCAAGGACCTCTCCGTGCACTGCTCCTTGGTATAATCAGGTCATCACTGTGAGAGTGAGCAATTTCTGAACAATATGTTGTTAATTTCAGAGTTTAAGTTAGTTAGAAGAGGCCCGGCTAAAAAATGAAAATTACAAAACAGAAAATTGGTTCTGTTTTACCCCAAACTAGGATTGCAACGAGCAGCTTGTAGTCCTCAGGGGGGGGTTAATCAGCGGTGAGGAATATCCTTGAAATAACCGATGCTGCCATAGGGCAGGGAAATGAATTGTGTGAGTCTGAGACAACATCCAGCCTGCTTTTTTTTTTTTTTTTTTTTTTGTGAAAATTTTGATATCCCAGCGGAGTTCACACACGGGTAAAAATCTTGGAAAGCGGGAAACATTCAGACTGTATAGAAATCACCTTCCAGTGGGATCAGGTCCCATAAGATGCCTTATTCAAGAGTATTCAGCAATGAAGGAGGTCAGGATTGAAACAAATCTGTGTGTACAAACTTAAAACCTTCAAAAAAGCATTGGCCAGATCCCTCTCAGCAGCACTAACCCAGGAAGGGGACTCCAGAAATCTGCCTGCCATTTGGAACTTTAGTTGCCTTCACTTAGGAACTAAAGGCTGACACCTGATCATTCCTGCAGCTGGAGTAAGAGGATCAGTGTGTTTTAAGTGTCACTTCAAAGTAACTCTCAGAAGTGGAAACAACTTCCCTAAAAGCCACTTGCTGTTTCTTTGAACTCATTGATAAGCTGTGGCCCCCACCACGTCCTGCAGCAGTGAGTTCCCCAGTTGAACCAAGCTCTTGGTGGGGGGGGAAAAAACCTGTGGAGTGTGTTTTTAAATCCCCAAATCCGTAATTCCACAGTCTGTTTCCCAGCTTGGATGTGAATACAAGGATGAATAATCATTCCCTGCTCTTCTCCACACAATTTGTAACTTAACACATCTATTACATCCACTCCAGGTTTTTTTTTGGGCTCCGAAATTAATTAATTATTCCCAGTGATACAGAAGCTGTTCCCTTCCTTCCTTTATCCTCCTCTCTCCCCCATCCCTCTGCTCTCCCAGTGCCTGTTCTTTGCCACAGGGCAGAGCTGTTCACACCCTCCAACTTGCACAAAGAGCCTGAATTGACAGAAAAGCCTGTTTTCTCTCTCCAGTTCCCTTCCTCCTACCTCTCCGTTCCTCAGGATCCCTGGAAAACCACTCCATGTCCCATGTGGGGATATTTCAGGCCACGAGAGACACCAAACCTCTGCAGTCTTCCCCTTTTCCTGCAGAGGTCCCCTGGAAACCACAAATCAAGCAGAAGGTGAACCTTTGAGGCGAGGAAAGGGACAAGGAACAGTGACTTTGGCCTCTAGAGAGCTGGAACTTTAAGCTGTGACAAAGCTCAGAGCATCACACCCTCCTCAGTTGATGTCTCCTCTGAAGGGTTGGAGGCTACAGGTCCCAGAGACACACAGACTCACCAAGGACAGACAGGACCATCAGGAGACAATGGTTTGTATTTCACCTGGGACAACCTGCATCTTTCTTTTCACACAAACCAGGCAGTGACCCAGCCCGGCACTTCACCGGGCTCTTTGGTGGACATCAACCAACAGACACCTGGTGGTTGAAAGGCTGGTAAGAAACACACTGACCTAAGAAAGGTTTCCGTTTATTCCTAAACTGCCTTAGAAATTAAACATTGTACAAAATGTGCCATTTTTTTTAAAAAAAATAAAGAAGTAACATCACATCATTTAGGATGATTAATCCAACTCATGTACACGGCAACAATGGAAGCACAAAGAATGGAAAAGACTCCAGAAAACCCAACCAGCAATCACCAATTTGTATCTGCACACACTTTGGCTCTGCCAGAGCCCCAGCAGTGACATCCAACCTGGAGTCCACAGGAAGATAAATTGCATAAGGTCATTATTAGGAACCCTGACAAACAGGACGATGGAGGAGCGATGACTTGGGTTCTGCTGTCGCTGACGTGTCACGTTGGTGACAGCACTGAATAAACCAGACCATTCTTAAAAAAATCCAAGGAAATAATCCCTTGGAGCACCATTCCCTTCCCACCTTTCTCCTAATCCTTTCCTTGTTCCTGCAGCCACAACTCAGTTTTGGCTGCGGATTGAGAAGTGGGTTGTTTAAACTCACACCCTCTGCCTGCTTCAAGCAGCTCTTTGCAGGGAACTCTCTCTCTTAGGGAACTCCTAACGTTCTTCAGAAAATAAAATGCTCCAACTTGCAGTTACCTGCTGTATTTTACAAAAGGAAATCCAACCAAATATCATCCCCTGACTTTGATTCAGAATCAGATGAAAATATTTCCACCGATAAGGTTTCCACAAACACTTTATGTAACAAATGCACAGTGATCTTTAAATAAATCCCCTCTTTGCTTGTGGCTAATTTCTATATACATTATGTATACATACATACACACACACACAGTTAAAACCCTGACATGGTAGAGTCTTGTGTCTGCCTGCAAGGTGCCAGAAAGATGGTTTTGGGAACCAAAATCCTCTCTGATCCTGTGATTAGCGCCTCAGGCGAGTTTGGAAATGTCTTCGTACGGGATGTCTTCCACTCGGCGTCCTTTTAGAGGTCCCTGGAGAATAACACAGTAGAAGAAATAAGATCAAAATACAAACTTGGTCATTTGTTGAATTCCCAAGAGGGAATTTAAAATAAGACCTCTAAAGGGTCTGTATGAAATCTCACCACGTTTAGACATTTTTCAATAAAATAAGACCTCTAAAGGGTCTGTATGAAATCTCACCACGTTTAGACATTTTTCAACAAGGTCAAGTGCTGGGACCTGCACTTGGGTCCCACCAACCCCCTGCAGCGCTACAGGCCTGGGGCAGAGTGGCTGGAGCTGCCTGGTGGAAAGGACCTGGAGGTGTTGGTCAACTCTTGGCTAAACATGAGCCAGCAGTGTGCCCAGGTGGCCAAGAAGGCCACCAGCATCCTGGCCTGTATCAGGAACAGTGTGGGGAGTAGGGCTCGGGAGGTGATTGTCCACTTGTGCTCGGCACTGGTGAGGCCCCACCTCAAGTGCTGTGTCCAGTTTTGGGCCCCTCACCACAAAAAAGACATTGAGGTGCTGGAGCGGGTCCAGAGAAGGGCAACGAAGCTGGTGAGGGGTCTGGAGCACAAGTCTTATGAGGAGAGGCTGAGGGAGCTGGGGGTGTTCAGCCTGGAGAAGAGGAGGCTGAGGGGAGACCTTATTGCTCTCTACAACTCCCTGAAAGGAGGGTGTAGAGAGGTGGGGGTCGGTCTCTTCTCCCAAGTCACAGGTGACAGGACAAGAGGAAACAGCCTCAAGTTGCACCAGGGGAGGTTCAGGTTGGATACGAGGAACAATTCTGACACTGAAAGGGTTACTGCACATTGGAATGGGCTGCCCAGGGAAGGGGTTGAGGCACCATCCCTGGAGGTGTTCAAAAGACAGGTTGACGTCGTGCTCAGTGACACGGTTTAGTGGTGGTTTTTATCAGAGTCAGGTTGATGGTTGGACTGGATGACCTTAGAAGTCTCTTCCAACCTCGACAATTCTACGATTCTGTGATTTTTCAAGAAGCTCAGCCAAAGTGACCAGCACCGGAAGTCACAGCCATTAGTGTTTTACTCAGTGTCACAGACAATAAAAGCCACCAGAGGCCGTACACAGCAGAACGCAGGTCCCAAAAAAACTGTAGGTGTGGGATTTGCTCATGTCACATTGTTTCCTCTTTCCTTATTTTCAACCTGACCAGAGAATGTGACGGGGCCTCAACGCTGTCCCAGAACTTTCAGGATACTTTTGGCATTAAAGTCCTTGCAATTTTGGCGCAAACGTAAGCAGCTGTTTTGAATTAATTCTCTATGAACTTGTAAGTAGTACAAGATTTAATTTTGAATACAAACTTCTTATATGTAAAAATCATAGAATAGAATCATAGAATGGTTTGGGTTGGAAGGGACCTCAAAGATCACCTAGTTCCAACCCCCTGCCATGGGCAGGGACACCTCCCACCAGACCAGGTTGCTCAAAGCCCCATCCAGCCTGGCCTTGAACCCCTCCAGGGATGGGGCATCCACAGCTTCTCTGATCAACCTCTTCCAGTGTCTCACCACCCTCATAGTAAAGAATGAGGTGCTCCAGCCCTCGGATCATCTTTGTGGCCCTCCACCAGACCCATTCCAACAGGTCCATGTCCTAGTCACCCTAAAATTAATATGAAAATTCTCACAGACTTCACTGTTTTCTAGGAGTAGCTTCACCCATTTTTAATTTATAGACTCAGAGTTCATGCAGGAAGAGGAAATCTTAACCCCTACAAGCACCAGAAGTGGAGAAAAACTACATTCACTTTCCAAGACCAACGTTATCACGATGCTTAGCTCCAAACAAAGCTCCTTCTGTGCTTAGGACACCTGCACTGTTGCTTCTCAAGCAAATTCTCCAGAATCCAATATGGGCTGAGTTCATAGAATCATAAAAAAGGTTTGGGTTGGAAGGGACCTCAAAGATCACTGAGTTCCAACCCCCCTGCCATGGGCAGGGACACCTCCCACCAGACCAGGTTGCCCCATCCAGCCTGGTCTTGAGTTTCCACAGCCCTTCTTTGCATGGGATCCTAACAGGGTCTCCCTCCTTCAAGTTGCTTTTAAAACAATCTGACTTTGAGCCAACACCTTTCCTACTGCATCAATGTGTTTAAAGATTGGTTTTGCAGAGGAGAACAAAGAAGTAGCTGCACAGACATGATGAAATGGCCTAATTTTAGCCCAGAGGAAGGTGATATTAAAAAAAACAAACACACAAACAAACAAACCCCGAAACAAAAAAAACAACTATAATTGTTAGCCATGAACAAGACAAAAAATAAGCACAAAAAGCCTTCAGCCTGGAATAGGCAGGAGAAAATTCACCTCCTTGCATATCTCACATTTTTTACCTCCCCACAAAGCAGTACAACAGCAGCCACGTTCAAAATAAACACACAAAACGTTTTGGAAGTCTCTTTCAAGTTCAAAACTTGCTAAATACAGCGTCCTGGCCTCTTTGTAAAGGCAAACAGCAGAGCATTAGTCGGCAATGGGGAATACGTGGCTGTTTTCCTCCAGGTTGAGAACAGGCAGGAAGGGAGACCACAGCATTTGGCACACCTGAAATCCCACCTGTACGACAGAATTAATGACACCATCTTTCCTCCTGAAAGCTCTCCAGTGAACAGATGAAAAGCTCTCTATGCAAACGAGATCGTGCAGGGCTTGATACTTACAGAGTCGATGATTATCGTCGCTGAAAACCTCTTTTCGTTGATCGATTCCAGGATGCCTTCGTTTCCCCTGTAGCCACCATTTAACACCATCACTTTCTTGCCTGAAATGACAGACAGGAAACCAGTTACACAATGGGGCTCCTAATTTCTTTTGATGGGGTTGTGTTCGACTCCACCCACAGCTGAGGGAGAGGTGGTTTCTCCTGGCAGATCCAGGAGAAACCCCTTTTCAAAGGGCACCCACGTTCACTGCTCCAGGGTATGCTCATATTAGAATCACAGAATCATGGAATGGTTAGAGTTGGAAGGGACTTTAAAGATCATCCAGTTCCAACCCCCCTGCCCTGGGCAGGGACACCTCCCACCAGAGCAGGTTGCTCAAAGCCCCATCCAGCCTGGCCTTGAACCCCTCCAGGGATGGGGCATCCACAGCTTCTCTGGGCAACCGGTCCCAGTGTCTCACCACCCTCACAGGAAAGAATTTCTTCCTAATATTTAATCTAAATCTCCCCTCTTCCAATTTAAAACCACTACCCCTTGTCCTGTCACTACACTTCCTGACAAAGAGTCTCTCGACAAAACCATTAAAAATACATCAAGGAAAGAAGCCAAAGATGTTTCTCACTCGTGGACACGCACTCATGGACACCCTCGACCAGCTCTGCACCAGCTGCAGAGATGCAGAACGTGGTGGGTCTGCTGAAGAATCTGTGAATCCCAAAATCTCTCATCCTGTTTCCCCTTACACTGACATTGTTCTTCTTCGTGCCGCCCTGACCATTCCCCGAAATACCAGTCAGATGCTACACACAAACACTGGTGTGTGCCAGCCAGAGAAACTGGTCGGGCATTGGAATAGGCTGCCCAGGGAGGTGGTGGAGTCACCATCCCTGGATGTGTTTAAGGGATGTTTAGATGGGGTACTGAGGGATATGGTGTAGGGGAGGACTTTGTAGAGTAGGGTAGATGGTTGGACTCAATGATCCCAAGGGTCTCTTCCAACCTCAATGATTCTATGATTCTATGAAATTCCAGCAAACCAAAGAGGAGACGACTTTGCCAAGTGCCCACAGCAATTTGAGACACGACTTTGGAGGGAAGATACGGGATAAATATGACTGAGGGCTCTGTGGGGCTCCCAGAGGTGCCTCCTGGCACCTGAAGAGAGATGTTTTCATCTCATTGAACGAACCAATTCCTAAAGCATTTCTGTCTTCTCAGAAAAGAATCTAATTCTTCCAAGAAGGGACTGTGAAGACTCAAAGCAGAAGCGATGTAGTAATTCCCCAGAAAGTACTGAGAGGATATTTGGTGAATGATCAGGGTAGCTTAGAAAATGCTGAACCAAGAGCAAGATGGCTCTTGTTATGGCATTTTCAAGTGGATGAATTATAGTTTAAAATAACTGAAATGCAAGTTTTGCAGTGACAACAAAACGGCTGTACCTGGTGCTGGTATCACAGTTTCTAGATGCGTCTGATCAAGCTTCAGTTTATCTCCGGAATCAATCATCTTCACAACTGCTGTGTATTTGTCAATCACTTCCTGTTGTGAAAGGCAGAGGCCAATCAGAAAAAGGAAAAAAAAAAAAAAACAACAAAAAAATTCTCTAAATTTACATTTCAGAATTAACACCCTCAGGACCATGGGTCTGCACTTCAGCATTTTCAAAAGCAACGAGGATTTCTGAGCTCTCCTAAAGGCTTTCACAAGCTGCTGCCTGGGCCCACCTTGAAGTTAAAGTTGGATTGAAAGGGTTCCTCTTGAACACCAATAACCAGCCTAAACGACCACTAATTTTCTCAGCCTTGTCTGAAGGTTTTGTCAACCTTTGGGTCAGCTATCCTGACCCAAAATGTGCGCTGGCAGCCACAGAGCCAACCTCATCCTGGGGTGCAACAAAAGCAGTGGTGGCCAGCAGGGTGAGGGAGGTGGTTCTGCCCCTCTGCTCCGCTCTGGTGAGACCCCACCTGGAGTACTGCCTCCAGCTCTGGGCCCTTCAGACCAGGAAGGACATAGACCTGTTGGAAGGAGACCAGAGGAGGCCACGAAGATGATCCAAGGGAACTTTCCATGTTCCAGCTTGTGCCCGTTGCCCCTCAGCCTGTCACTGGAAACCAAGGAAAAGAGTTCAGCGCCATCATCCTTCTGCCCATCCTTTAGATACTTGTAAACATAGATAAGGTCTCCCCTCAGACTTCTCTTCTCCAGGCTAAAGAGCCTGAGCTCTTTGAGCCTTTCCTCATAAGGGAGGTGCTCCAGTCCCTCAATCATCTTTGTTGCCCTACGTTGGACTCTCTTCAGGAGTTCCCTGTCTCTCTTGAACTGGGGAGCCCAGAACTGGACGCAGGATTCCAGTTGTGGCCTCCCCAGTGCAGAGCAGAGGGGGAGAATGACCTCCCTTGACCTGCTGGCCACACTCTTCCCTACACAGCCCAGAATCCCATTGGCCCTCTTGGCAACAAGGCCACATCGCTGGCTCATGGAGAGTTTGTTATCCACCAGGACTCTCAGATCCTTCTCCTCAGAACTGCTTCCCAGCAGGTCCACCCCTAACCTCTACTGGTGCCTGGGGCTCTTCCTCCCCAGGTGCAGGACCCTACATTTGACTGCAAAGCTGGTTAGTCTGAGATTAAAACAAAACTGCACTGCTCTTGGACATCTCACATTGAGGAAGCAGCTGTTCTCCATGCTGGATGCGTTAGCGGGGACAAACCAGGCAGGACAAACCAGTGCTGAAGAAAGAATCACCGAGTAAATAACATTAAACCAATTCAGAGATTCACTCCCAGCCCAGAATAAATCCCAGTAAAGATAAAGTGACATTTCAGCCCCCATCAGTGTTGATTTAAGGGTGAACAACTTGCACAACGAAACAAAACTTCCCAAGTTACCCCATACCAGAGAAGCCCAGGAATTTGCACGCTTTACCTTCACGACTGCCTTCTTCTTGTGGTATTTCTCTCCCAGCTTTTTTGTTACAATTTTTACAACAATTTCCTGGAAGATATGAAAGGAGAAAAGAAAAAAATGAAATGTCGAAATATACAACCAACCACACAATCTAAACTAATTGGGCATTCAGGTCACTCAGGCTGACTCCAACCACAGGCTGTAGAGCACAAGACTCAGCATCCAAGAACTTGACTTTTTCCTGAGTTATTGACTCAAAATAGTATCTCTCAAGACCTTTTTTTTTTAAAAAAAAAAA